ATGGCCCCGCCTCTTGGGAACGGCACGGAAGACAAGCTATCCTGCCAACAGCACTAGGTTCCCAGTCTGTTGGCTTCACCGCCCCTGAATAATAATAGAGCATCTGAAACACTCTGTTCCCTCTCAGGGGCCCAAATCCATTGCTGCGGTGAGTCCTGCCAGAGTCTGGCCAGGGCCTGCTTTGGAATCACTCCCTGCCGCTGGGCAGAGGACAACTCTGGTCCCCAGGCAGCTACTGTCTGGCCCAGGTGACCGTGTGAGCAGCGAGCCAGGACTTGTCAGCTGAACCATCCTTGGGGCAGGTACAATGCCTCCCTGGCAGGAGCGCTTTGATTTTCTCTGGCAAATTGGGTTCTCGGGTCAAGTGCAGGTGGCCCTTGGTGAAATGAAACCAGAAGGGCCTCCGACCAGGTTCTCAGGTTTACTAGTTTGTGCGGGTTTCTCCCCTTGGTGTCTTTGCATCTGTTCTCAGGGCCCGTGGCACCGCCGGGGTATTCGCGGGGGCTCAGGAAAGAGCTGAGTTGGATTCTCAAATCAGATTGAATGAAAATTCGCACTCTTGTCACACCGAGGGAGAAATTTCATCATCCAGATGGCGCTGGCATCGTAAATCAATTAGGGCCTTCGGTTTCATAAACACAACGTGCTTTTCATTCACTTGGCGACTGATCGGTTCCTATTCCATGTTCAGCAAAGTGCAAACTCCTAGCAATACAAAGAAATAAGATGCAGAGGGTGCCTGGGTGGCTCAGTCGGTTGGGTGTCCACTTTGGCTCAGGTCATGATCTCGTGGTTCATGAGTTCGAGCCCCACTGACAGTGCAGAGCCTGCTTGGGATTCTCTCTCTCTCCCTCTCTCTCCCTCTCTCTCTGCCTCTCCCCTGCTGGCACTCTCTCTCTCTCTCTCTTAAAATAAATAAACTTAAAAAAAAAAAAAAAGAAAAGAAAGAAAGAAGATGCGAACTGACCTGGCTTCAGCAGCTTCATGGGTCCAGGGGAGAGACAGCCGTGGGTGTGGGGAAACTGGCCAGACGATATCTGTGTTATCACCATGTTCCAAGGTGCTCAGAGGCCAGGAGCGGCCACAGGAATCGGGGCCACATTTCCCACTTGTGTGACCAACTGTGCCCGACGCTTTCTTGGAACACACCTTTAAAAATTGTTTTCAGCATCTGTAGGGCTTTCTCATGAATCTAGGTAGAGCAAATCTGCATCTTTGAGGGTTGAAATTCCCTTCGGAGTGGTGCCATTTAGAAGGAAGGCGAGCGCATGAAAGCTGGTGGGCAGGACTCCGGGTCAAACTCTTGGGGTGGCTCTGAGCTGCCCGCGAGGCTGTTCCAGGGTGGTCAGAGCAAGGTTCCTGCTGTTCTGCTGTGCACTCTGCCACACGCACCAGACTAAGACGGAGCTCCACACCTCCCATTCGCAGAAGCAACGATTCGCCGTAACCGTAGTTCATATACACGCTCTTATTGGTCAACCAGAGCACAGGAGACATGGTCCGTGGGGCTAAGGGCTTCATTCCTGGATGCACGGGGAGTCCCGTGCAAATACTGTTTCCAGCCTCACAGCCTAGTTTTCTGTGTGAAGATGTCTCTCCCCCTGCTGGGAAACTTCCGTGCAAAGACTTAAAGGTACATCCACAGATTCGTATCTTCAGCTAGCGGACGCTGATCGAACACGGAATCGGAAGCTCTGGGCTCGACCGGGGTGGGGCAGTGGTCGTGCATGGGGACGTTATGACCGTGCCCAAAAAAAGGGAATAAAAAGAGGTCTGCTTTTTATTCTCTAGGTGGTGGCTACGCTGGGGACCACATCCTGCTGCTCATTCGACAGTCTCTTAGAAGTGGGTCCGATCTGTAAGTACCTGATGGAGGTTTCTTTCGGAAAATGTTCTCAGTGTAGGAAGATATGAGGGGAACTCCTTCTCTGGGCTCTCCTCCTTCATAATATTAATGACATAAGTCATATGAGAGAATAATATGATTAGAGAGTCCGAGGCATGTTACAATATAATGTAATATGAACATAACAATAACTTAATATGACGATGGTTTGCCAAACTCTCCTTGGTTTTTTTTAATGTTTAAAAAAATTTTTTTAATGTTTATTTATTTTTGAAAGAGAGAGAGACAGCGTGTGAGCAGGGGAGGGGTAGAGAGAGGGGGAGACATAGAACTCGAAGCAGGTTCCAGGCTCCAAGCTGTCAGCACAGAGCCCGACACGGGGCTCGAACCCACAAACCGTGAGATCATGACCTGAGCCAAAGTCGGACACTCAGCCGCCTGAGCCACCCAGGCGCGCCTGCCGAACTCTCCTTGTATTTGCAATAGCACATATCTCATTAGCTTGAAGTGCACAAGCCCAGAAGGTGGCCCTAACTGGACAAGAGCTGAGCTTGGCTGAACCTGTGCCTACACACTGTCTCCAAGAAAAGGTCCTTCCGCGCGTACGGAAGGGCTGCAAGGTTTCGCCACCCAAGGGAATACACTCGAACTCTTGGAGCGAGTTCCCCAAGGCTCATGGGGAGCCTTTCAGTTAAGGCTTTCAGTTAAGTCTGACGTGTCTTCTTCTGGAATGACTGGAAGCAGTGAAGCAAATGACCTAACGTGCGTAAGCAAATCAACACCAAAACCCTGGATTTCTCCGGAGAAGAATCTGCTTCCTGTGCTCCTCGGGGCCACTCTCCCCTCCCCCCCTCACCTACAGCACACAGGTGGTCTCCTGGGGATGATATTTCAGAGACTCCAAAAGATAGAACGTGAGTAAGGGCTCTGTTTCTAAAGGTTCCCCTTCCACACGCGGCTCTGGGCACACAGCAGGCCCAGGAGTGGGCAGTCAGGTGACGGAGACCTTCTCTTGGGCAGGGGCACGGGCTCATGACCCCTCCCCCATCCTTGGGGCATGCCCCCCCCCCCCACTCCTGTGGCTCTGGGGCAGCCACCGCCCGCCCCAGGACGGCGGAGCTGATCATCCAAGCGGTCTGGGCTCACATGGAGGCTGTTCAGGGCCCCCGATCACGATCACGTCTTGGTGGCTTATGCTAGACAGCACTCCACCTGCAGGCACTGGCCCCTGGCCCCACCTGCATGACCCCACCTCTCCTCACGGGGACCCCCCTGTGCCTACACTCGCACAGCTGGTGGCAGTGGTGACGGGCACTGCTTCAGGCCATGGGCCCTCAGTTCCAAGCTTTGTCCCCCCGTCTGTACGGGGGGCGAGGAAGCAACACTTGTCATCGTCAAGCGTCCAGGTTTCCCTCACAGGGCTCTTTAGAGGGGGCGTTCGTGCCCAGGAATCGGGTGAGACCCAGGGTAGCAGGTGTGCTGGGGACCGTCCGTGCTGAGGGGCGGCTGGCACGGACGTGCCTGTTCCCACAGGATTTTTCTCCACCACATGTGATTTTTCACCACCACAGTGGTGCAGAGCCCGGACTCAGAGGAGGGACTCGACCTACTGGCTCATGCCCGTGGCCAGGGCATCGGCCTCGTGAGCTGCAAACCCTCGTGAGCCCGGCCAAGCCACCGTGCGCGCCTCTGACTCAGATGTCGGGCTGGGAACTGGACGTCCTGCACGGGGGCCGGCTGATGTCTCCCCGGGGCTCTTGGATTTCGGGGATTGAGGGGTTTGGCAGGGCAGAGCCCACATGGCCCCACAGGCCCTGAGCCCCAGGCTGGCCACCTGCCCACCTGCCCAGGCAGAGGATGGCCCAGCTGGTACAGTGTAGGGAAGCCTCATGAGGAAACACGCGGGCGGCGAGGACTTGAGGGGTGGGAAGCCTGAACCTTCCCTTCCGAGGGTGTCCACAACCTCCCGGCCGAGGTTCGGCTCGCTTGGGTGCTGGGTGGACCTTGGCCTGTGACAGGCGGCCCCCATGGCCTGGCCTCGGGGTCTGTGACCGCCTGGCCTCTAGAGATGCCCGTGTTATCTGGAGGCACCAGATCGCTGCCAGCGGTCCCGTACAAGACACGGGATGGAGAGCTGGTGCTCTCGGCTCTTTGCGTCCCCGCGGACAGAAGAGAAACCCACCTGGAACTCCCCTTTTCTTGGGCACCCGCGAGTTCTTTCTGCGGGAGTTTTGCGCCGACTGCAGGGACAGAGGGATCCTCGTGCCTCCGAGACCACCCTCAGGTTCACTAACCCTCCAGGAAGACTCACAGAATCCTCTGCAAGCATCTCATGGTCAAGGTTTATTGCAGGCAGGAGGGGTGTGGGGCACAGTGTGGGGGGCGCCCGAACCCTTGTCCTCTCCCGTGAGGTCTGGGTGGCTGGCTTCCCCAGGTATGATGACCGTACACATAGAGTGAGACCCCCCTCCCCCCACCAAGGAAGCTGGCCCGGCCCGCGCCAATGGAGTTTTCTTGGGGCTCAGTAACTCGCTGCCCACCTGGTCGACCCTCAGTCTCCAGCTCCTGCTGGAGGTCCAGCTAACACCTGCCGTCACTCGTTCCTGCAGAAGTCAGAACTCATATGGCCCAAGGCCCCCATCATCAGTCACATTGTGGCACCATCAGGGGACCAAAGACCCAGGTGGGAAAGGACTCCTATCAGGCAGGGCCCTCCACAGCTAGCGGTCGCCTCTCTGGAGCCAAGAGCTCTTCTGGACTAAAGTTAAGTCCCTGCTGTGCACCTTCCCCTGGAGGACCCCTGTCCCTGCCCTTCCGAGGACCCCGTCTTTCCCTCCCGCTGCCCCCCTCTGGGTCTCTGATACATTCCGGAGTGGCAGAGTCCTGGGGGCTGGCATCATCCTGGCCCCTTCCTGAGGGCTTAGGCCGAACTTCCTCTCTGTCTGTCCTGGAGCTGACCCAGCTCACATTGGAGGGGTTGTGGTTTCTTTTTGCCTTCCTTTTTTTTTTTTTTTTTTTTTTTTAATGTTTATTTGTTTTTGAGAGTGGGAGAAAGAGAAAGAGAGGCAGAGCGCGAGGGAAAGATCCCAAGCAGGCTCCTTGCTGTCAGTGCAGAGCCCAATGTGGGGCTCGAACCCCGTGAACCGTGAGATCATGACCTGAGCCAAAATCAAGAGTTGGACGCTCAACTGACTGAGTCACCCGGGCGCCCCATAACTTGAGGTTTCTACTCTTACCAAACGGTCCTCTCACAAGGGTGATGGAGAAGTGAAGAAAAGAGAGCCCTTTCTCTTGCTGCTGGAACCTGGTCCCCACCTCCTACCCTCATGGCTCGTGTCCTTCCTGACTTGGCTGCCTGTTCAGGCCTTGGGGTCCTGCCCTGCCTCACCTCTTCCCTCGATGGTTCTGAAGGGAGACACATGGGAGTCTCAAAGTCCCCAGAGGGGCCTCTAACAGAGAACGAAGTTTCCTGACCAGCGCAAACGGTCCCCTGGAGAGCACAGAGTGGATGTGAGGTTTCATGTCTGTCCTATAAGAGCCTCTGAAGTTTCCACCTGCCCACAGCCTACAGAGCCACAGCAGTCGCACGATAAGCAACAGGAGCACTGTTGTGTTCCAGACTGGCTGAGCGGTGGTTTCCAAGCAGAAATCCCACATTGTCCTGAGGCTCTGTGCTCTCACTGGCTCCCGGCCACATCCATGTGGGGCCCTGTGGTGCCAGGGAGACGGCTCCACAAAGGGACCAGCCCACACGCCCTTCGCCTGTGAGACGTGCCTCCGGGTACACAGAGCTCACCCTCACCGTGACCCTCGGTGGCACTATCACGTGTCCTCGGAGCGCATTTGGTCTGGATCCAACCGAGTGCTTTGATCCCTCCAATCCTGAAGCTCAGATGGAATCAAGGCTTTGAAACGCCTCTGAGAACTTGTGTCAGCAGAGCTCAGAGCCACCTGTCCCTCCTCATGGCATCGGGTGTGATTAGCGAGCATCACGCATGAGAAAGCGAGCCTTGCGCCTATCAGTCGGCACAGATGCATTTGGCAGGGGCTGACTGAGCCACGCAGGTGGTGTCCTGACCCAGTACGGGCAGGGCGCCTCCTCCCCACCGAGACGCCCCAACCTTTCGTGGTTACGTGTCTCGTGAGTGCTGCGTGCCCAGCACCCACGGAGGGACTCATCGCGATGATCACCCTTATTTCTCACGACCCCAAACTAGGTGTGGTGATAGGCAGTTACAGGCGGTATCTTGTCTCTCCCTGACGTTCCGGGTGTGATTTTTATACCTGTTTGCCTGGGAGGGGACTGAGTTTGAAAGGACGTAAGGCCATAGAGCTGCTGGGTCGTTGGAGGCAGGGGTTGAACCCAGACAGTCCCAACTGAGGGAGCAAATTTAATCAGGATGCTATTCCACCTGTAAAGTCAGACGTGGTCCCTTCCGGCCAGGCTATTCCGGTGCGGTTGGAAAGCAGAAATCGCATCCCAAAGGAGCCTGGCGTGGTTGTGGATGGCCTAAAATAAGCGAGTATGCTTTACGGGGGGATGGAATGGGGGGGGAGGGGGGTCACTGGGGCTGCACACCCTGCTGATCCCCCAAGACTTTGTGGGGGAAGACTTTAGGACCCCTAATCCAGGAGAATGGGGAGCACATTCCCAGTGGATGAGATGGCAGAAGACAGAGAAAGGCAGTGTGACTGCGAAAAAGGCACCCCAAGGGTTAGGGCGGGCTGAGCCCTTAGACCATGAGCATCCACCTTCAAGTCAAGCAGGGCGGGGGATCCCATTTTCCTTCCTTCAAGTCCACACATTCACTGAGCACCTTGTCTGTGCTCTGCCACAGTCTGGGGCCAACCACCCTCAGTTGCGTTGCCTTCAGACTCAAGGAGCCAGTTAGGGTCCACCATCGGGCCAGCAAATGCTGTTGATAGACCGTATGCAGTAAGTTATCAGGCCCCCGTGAGGAGGGCATCTGTCGGGGAACTCACAGGTCACCTCTGGATTTCAGGTAACAAGGAGGACGTGTGGCTGCACATCGACGCTGCCTACGCGGGCAGCTCCTTCATCTGCCCTGAGTTCCGGCATCTTCTGAACGGAGTCGAGGTAGGTCGTGCTCTTTATCGTTAAGAAGATCGCCGTTGAAAAGTGCTCTGCTGTCAGTGACATGTCCTCGCGAGGAGGTGACGTTCCATTTCTCATTGCTGGGGTTCGTTGCAGCAGACGGCGTCCAAACACATTCTGCGATCGTCAGAAATTAGACTTCCTTATGATGGCGGTTGAGAATCTTCCCAGTCCTACAGCCGCTCTTCTCAAAATACACCGGACGTTTACAGCCATTTTTCAGTCTGCACGGGTCCTGGGCAAGGGTCTCATGACAGGATAAATGTTAGCACTGTGGGGAAACATTTAGGAAGGAAATGAGATCTTAATGCATTTCAGATCAAGAAGTAACGTACAAGGGCGCCTGGGTGGCTCAGTCGGTGAAGCGTCCGGCTTTGGCTCAGGTCGTGGTCTCACGGATCGTGACTTTGAGCCCCGGTTGGGCTCCGCGCTGACAGCTCAGAGCCTGGAGCCTGCTTCAGGTTCCGTGTCTCCCTCCCTCTTTCTCTCCCTCTGCCCTTCCCCTGCTCTTTCTCTCTCTCTCTCTCTCTCTGAAAAATAAACATTTAAGCAAATTTAACAAAAAGAAGTAATGTATAAGGCCAACCTACAACCCTATTCGGTCTGGTTCAATATGATAGTCTATTCTGACCATGCAGTGGGCATGGTGTTGACTTATTGAACAAGCAGCCACAGGTGCACTCAAATATCTTCTACTGCTTCTGGAAGTTGTAAAATGTGGCTTGTGATGCCCCTCAAAACACCTGCCGCTTCTGAGAACTAGTAAGCAAAACTATCGGCCAGTACTCTGCTGCAGAGGGCCATGTGGCACAGACTAGAGGCGAGGACACGACGTGATGGTCGTGCTGTGATGTGTGATTTCAGACTCAAGGAGAATTTCGCTGTTGGCGGAGGCTCAGGGGCCGCAACGTTCCTCTCGGCCAGGAACTCAGTTGTAGCTGCAGTAAAGGGTCCAGAGAGAGCGACTTTGCAGGGAGTCCGGGGGAAGGAGACAGTGAGTCAGTGGGGCCTCAGTGTTGGCTCTGTGCTCAGGGACACGGGTTTCGCGAGCCCCGGGGCCACACGAGGTGCAGGGATTACGGGCACGGCCTTTGCCATTAAGTGACTGTTTGAATCCCAGCTTTACCCTACGACTAGCTGTGTCCCTGCGGGCACGTTAGTACCCTCCCTCCACCTCACAAAGTGGGTTTTGGTAGTGATCCCTCCTCCGAGGGGGTGTTGTAAGGATCAGGAGTTAATCATATTGAAAGGGCTTAAAAAGCAGCGTCTGGCACACGGCAAGGGCTGTGCGTGAGTTGGATTCTGTGGTTTCACCATGGCTGAGCAGACCGTCCCTCCAAACCTCTCTCCGCTCTCGGGCCAGGCTGCCCATTCATTTGCTGATTACTCATGTGGATTCTCATGGGGCCATAATACCAGAAAAAAGGGTGTCATGTATAGAACACCAGTGTTCCCCTCTTAGAAAAGAGTACCCCCTTATTACCAACGAATGAAATAGCATTCTGGTTCCTACCTCCTTCACGTCACATTCATTTGTGTACTCTCTCACTCGGTATTTGCTTATTGATCGCTGAATACGGGCCAGTCCTCAGATCTGTCCTGGGGAGGGAGGGGCACGTGGGGCTTCCAAAGGCCCCAATAAATATTGGGGAAGGGGGTTGTGGCCTATGAGGAGTTCTGGTAACGATGCTGACGGCCAGCTCTCTGGGGTTCGCTGCCCGTAGCCGGTTTTGTGGGTGTTTGGGGCTGCGAAACGACAGACAGACCTCTTTACCACCTGCACACCTCGCATCACAGAGACGGTACACATCACTGGCGGGGGAGGGGGTCTGTCCCCGCAGACTCGGGGGACAGAAGGCAAAGCCATCTTTGGGAATGTGTGTGCCTGTACCCAAGGCCTGGTCTTTCTACATATCAGGCTTAGGATTGCACAGTCTTTTCCCTGTGAACCCAGGACTTGGGGCTTTGGCTTTCATGGCGGGGGGCTTGTCGGGGGGGACTAACTGTCAGGCCACCGCGGAGCTGGGCACTCTAGCAAGATCCTATCTGCCAGCGGCAGACGGGATTTCATGCCCGACGCTGAGTCATTTCCGTGTCTCCTGCATTGTTCTCTGCTGGCGAGGGCCTTCCTGCTCGGCTGGTCAGATAAGGGGCCTGCAATATCCTGCAAGGCCCCAGCCCCGAGATAACATCCCGTCGCTCTGCCAACAGGAGGAGCACACAGCGGTCGGGTAATGAAAGACGATCAAACAGACCAGCCCCTCCGGGAGGGAACTAATACAATTCTCGGCAAACAAAGCCCATCTTTCACGTGTTGTCTCCTTTTATCAACAAATGAGACCCGTTGTCCTTTCCCGTGTCTTGCTCCAAGTCACTTTGATTGAAACCTGGAAGGAAACGAATGTCCTCCCCGCCGCCCCGAGTGGGGGTTGACGTGCGAGGCGGCCGTCAGCCGAGCGGACGTCTCCCGGGTGGCACGGCACCCCCCTGGCCCCTGGTGCCTCGCTGCCTCCCTGGAACCAAACAGAGAAGAGGCCGGAGGTGGGGAGAGATTTCAGCTGCCTGCCAGACTGGGACCTTTATCTCTGCCGCTGCCTTTAACTCTGCTTCCACTGGGGATTTATGCGTGTGGCTGCATCCCTGGGCCTCCAGCTGGGCCCAGGTCTGTGCATCAGCCTGACGATAAACCTGGGCACGCCTTTGGAAGGATGTGAGAACTCCCCACTTACGATAGCTTCGTGGAAACACAGAGCGGCCTCCTCAGCCAGTCTCGGTTGTTAAGATCTTATTTTCTGCTTGGAAATGCCGCAGCATCTAAAATTGATGATCTCGGTTATTGCCTTTAAAAATAAAGACGAAGAGGGGCGCCTGGGGGGCTCAGTCGGTTAAGCGTCCGACTTCGGCTCAGGTCATGATCTCGCGGTTCGTGCGTTTGAGCCCCGCATCGGGCTCTGCGCTGACAGCTCGGAGCCTGGAGCCTGCTTCGGATTCTGTCTCTCCCTCCTTCCCTGCCCCTGCCCCACTCATGACTGTCTCTCTCTGTCTCTCATGAATAAATAAATAAATGTTAAATTTTTTTTATATTTATTTATTTTTGAGAAACAGAGTGAGACAAAGCGTGAGTGGGGGAGGGGCAGAGAGAGAAGGAGACACAGAATCCGAAGCAGTCCAGGCTATCAGCACAGAGCCCGACGCGGGGCTCGAACCCATGAACTATGAGATCATGACCTGAGCCGAAGTTGGACGCTCAACCAACTGAGCCACCCAGGCGCCCCCCAATTTTTTTTTTTAAAGACGAAGATGTTTAGGTACACAGGAAGAGTAGTTGGTAATTACGTTGGTATTGGTGAAAGAACGAACCAGTTAAATAAAAATTGGGGTGATCCCGATTACCACCGGTTAGGCATGAAGTTTTCACCCTCCCAAAGCTCATGATGATATGCGTATACCAAGAACTTTGCCAGTTCGTGATGTTGAGGAAGCTGCTGGCAGGAAGTGTTTCATAGGCCAGATCAGTACGATGTCCTGGCATAGTACATGTGAATTAATATTTCACTTATTTCAAATAATCTCGTAGTTTGAAAGGTAGATACATTTCGTTCATTCACTCATTCATTCATTCGCTCATTCATTTATATTTGAGAGAGAGAGAAAGAGGGAGACAGAGAGAGGGCACAGGCTCCTGTGCATGCACACGCACACAAGAGCGGGGAGAGGGGTTGAGAGAGAGGGAGAGAGAGAATCCCAAGCAGGTTCCACACTCAGCGTGGAGCCCAATGCGGTGCTCGATCCCACGACCCCGAGATCATGACCTGAGCTGAAATCAAGAGTCAGGTGCTCAACTGACTGAGCCCCCCAGGCGCCCTGGTAGATACATTTCATATGACTCCAGACTACATACGGGGGATCCCGAGTATGATTTGTTATCCCCATTTAAACATGAATATGAAGACGCGTGGGGAGGTCAGGTGGTCGCCCCAGTGGGTTCCAGAGTCCAGACCCTCCCAGCTGTGAATTACTGTGCACGGAGTCTTGTACAACTAGACGTTAGTAACGGAAGTGGCTTCTTTTTGTTATTTCTCCTCGGCAGTTTGCAGACTCATTTAACTTCAATCCGCACAAATGGCTGCTGGTGAATTTCGACTGCTCTGCCATGTGGTAAGTTTCCCCGACGGCTACATGTCAGCTACCCCATGTGCACCGCACTTTCCCTGAGCGGCCTTGTGGGAAAGAAGCCTGGCAGGTGAGGAGGATGCCATCGCTGGGCCATGTCACATGTTACCTGCTCACTGCTTGCTTCCATGCTGAACCAGGGGCAGGATTCTTGCCCAACCTTACCTGACTGTGAACTGCTGATAAGAACATATTAGCTCGAGCCATTGGCACAAGGAGAGAAGGTTAATACAGCAAAATCTGTAGTGTGATCTACCTAGTGTTACCAAACACAACGCAAGGACATTTCAGGACGTATTTCTAATTCGGTTGTTTCTGTGTCTTTCTTCGTAGATGGTTAATGAGTCTAAGGGCTTGAACACATTTGTTAAGTAAAAATAAAAGTAATCCCTTTTCCCATGAGATTCTCTGGAAATTCTTAACAGCGTGCCATAATTATGTTGGTCCTATTTAGAGCAAGAAAAAGAATTCAGAAATGAAAGTGGGTGATACTCCATCACGTAGATGATTTTTAAAGAAATAGCGGTCACTGGGAGCGGTGTGGGAACACGGGATAATGGTTCTGCTATGTTCATTGCACTAAGAAGGAGGTAAATCAACCTTTGGACCGGGGGGGTTTGCATGAATTTTGTGCAAAATCATTCGGCATGTAATTGCATGAATGGGTTCTCACCTTGGAGGGGTGAAGAAATCAGTTCTCATCTGACCCAACCGAAGTCTGTTCTCCCGGTTTACTGAGCGACCAGTGTGCCCTTTGACTAGTTTGTCTAAAGATTAAACCGTATTTTCAGTGCTTTACTAAAAAATTGGTTCACATCAATTCTTTTCTGTCTGCCTTGGACCGAAACTTTGATATGTGATTTTAAAGCCCACTGGTGGGCCCATTCTAGACGTGGCTTCGTCCGAAATACGAGTAAGGATCTATATAAGCTATAGCTGTTATGAACCTCAGTGTTCTTTCGTGTTCTTGTGGCTGCGTTTGTCTATTTTAACTGGAATGCTAAAGAATGGTTCATACGGTGTATCCAAAGTCCCTCTCTTTGAGCTTTAATTGGCACTGAAATGTAATTCTACTCTGCTGGTGTGTTTGGTCAGATTGTGGCTCGTGGGCACAGAGCTGGCACAGAGCCAGTAGAGGGCCCTTTCGCCTTTATTTGGGGAGGGGTGGTGGCTTCAGTGTGAGCTGATGCAGGAGCACACAGGGTCCTTAGCTGCCAGTGAGGCATCGGGCCAAGAAAGCCCACAAAAAGACCGGAGGGTTGTCGGGGGTAAAGTGATGGGGACCGCCAGGAGGTGGCGGCCAGAGGGCCTCACAGCATGCCCAGGTGTTTCACTGATGACCTGGGGAAAATAATATCAGAGATGGCTGTTTACATGGGCGGCCTTCAACGCCCTTTCTGTAACATAAATCACTGGGGCTCCGGGGTATCCGGCCCCCTCACGCATGGGGCAACTGAGGCTACGAGGGACCAAACGCATTTGGGGCCGCGATCTGTGATCACACACTGAGAGGTGATGGGGTGAATATAACAACGTGGCGTCCTGCCCTTGGGTCCAAAGAGCCAGTGAGCCAGTTAAGGATGAGAGAGAACAGCTTTGTCAGCGGCGTGGTTGGGAAGGGCCCGAGCCCCTCACGGGGTGTAACCAGGCTGCCGGGGTCACTCGGGAACAAGAACGTCTTGCCCGGTTGAGGCAGCAGCCCGCAAAGGGAAGCCTGACAGAGCAGACGTGATGTGCAGGAGAGACACGGGGCGCACAGGGTGAGGCCACGTCACTGGGAGAAGGACAGAGGGTGAAGCTGATTGTCCGCTGAATAAAATCAAATATAAGATGTAAGGGCGACAGCCAATGTTTGAGGTTTTACCCCAGAGGAGGGCAGTCAGTTATCCCCGGGGCTGGAGGGGACACGGGAGAGGGTCATGAGTTGAGGCCACATGAACACATAAATTGCAATAGAGAATGTGCTTTCCGTGTCCTGAGCCGCTGGGGTCCTGGACGGAATGGTTGTCGAGGATTTTGGGGAGATTTCGTGAGTGTGGGAAAATCGCTCCTACCCCAAACCGGGGGTGCAGACCTTGATTTCACGAGCGTGTGGATTGGGTGACGGAGTTGGATGTGGAAGGATCTGCGTTTCAAGACAAAAACAGCCCCTGCCCGCTGTTTGAGGCACTGTGCCAGGGACGCTGTGACAAACCACCGCGCGCCACAGAGACGTATTTCCTCCTCATTCTGGAGGCTGGAAACCAGAGACGGGGGCCCAGGCGGGCGGGTCTCTGCTGACGCCTCTCTAGCTGGCATGCCGACGGCCGCCTTCTTTCTGTGTCGGCACTCGGTCTTTCCTCTGTGGGTCTGTGTCCTCTTCTTAGGGACACACTGGTCACGTTGGCTTAGGACCCAGGCATGTGACCTCATTTTAACCTCATTGCCTCTGTCCCCATGTGGTCACATTCTGAGGTCCTGGGGGTCAGGTCTCCAGCAGGTGAATCGTGGGCTGGGGACACAATTCAGTCCGTGATGGTGCTCGCAAGAAATTACTAGATAAAACCATAAGGCTAACATTTAGGAATTTAAACCAGGTCAGCTTATTTTAAACCATATACTTAATTATGCCACCCACTTCCTGATCGGTTTATTTGATTCTTATCAAACTTGATGTTTTCTTTTGATCTCGCTATACCCAACCACCTGCTTGCTCTCTCTGTCTCTCTCTCTCTCTCTCTCTCTTTACTATAAAGAAGTTGCTCTCTCCTCTTGGTGGGGACGATGTTTAGCATTGCCCTGCTTGCAGAAGGCCCTTCCCACAGAGGTCCTACCCTCACCGGGGGCTGCACTGTGGTGGTGCTGAGGGACCAGGGTCCGAGCTGGGGCAGTGCCATCCAAACCAAGAATAACAAGGAGGAGGAGAGGTCCCGATTGCATTGGAAAACATTTGATTTTGAGCACCGTGGACCTCACACCAGAAGGCTATTATCTCTGGGCTCTAGAGGTCTCAGCCGTGGGACAGAGTTTCCGGTAAATGAAATACCGCCAAGTGAAATGAGAAACTGAATAAAATCAAGTCCAGGCCAATGCAGCTTGAGGTCCAGCAGGTGAAGCGCTTGGGAAGAGAGAAGGCAGAGGTTCAGAGAAGCTTGGAAACAACAGGGAGCTGGAAGGCCAAGGGGGAATGTGTGAGTGAGATGCCTCCATGGACCCATTCATTCTCTGCCTGATTGTTGGACATGGAGAGCTCGGGGAAAGCCTATTTGGTGACATGGCATTTGACAAAGGGCCACACGAGGTGACAGATTAAGCAGCGTGCGTACCTGCGCCGGGTGGGTGGTGAGGACCGGCAGTGCAAAGGCCCGGAGACAGATGCGTGCACCCCAGTGAACTCAGGTGAACGCCACTGAAGATCATTCAGGTGGTCGACATGGATTTAAATTTGTTTTGAGTCCGCTCTCCACATGTAAAAGTTGGCGTTTTAACAGAAAGAGGCAGCTTTTTAATGTGTCACTAATTAATGAGAGCCCTTACAGCACCATTGCTGGGGCTGAGCGCTCGGTCCTGTGGCCAGCGTGACCTTGTGCGCAGGTGAGGCCAGGCTCTCGGAGCACGTGTACTTTATTTTTATTTATTTATTTATTTATTTTTTTAAATGTAAGTTTTTCAAATCTTTTTTTTTTTTAATTTTTTTTTTTCAACGTTTATTTATTTTTGGAACAGAGAGAGACAGAGCATGAACGGGGGGCGGGGGCAGAGAGAGAGGGAGACACAGAATCGGAAACAGGCTCCAGGCTCTGAGCCATCAGCCCAGAGCCCGACACGGGGCTCAAACTCACGGACCGCGAGATCGTGACCTGGCTGAAGTCGGACGCTTAACCGACTGCACCACCCAGGCGCCCCTGGAGCACGTGTACTTTAAAGATGATAGCTATACCGCAGCTAAACTAACGTAGGAATTGTTCTTCCTGATTTTATGGATGAGGCAACCGGGATTCTGCTTACGGACACACAACTCTCCTCCATGCCAGAGCCACAAATGTTTAAGAGACAGAGAGAGAGAGAGAGAATCCCAAGCAGGCTCCGTGTCCGTCAGCTTAGAGCCTCACGCGGAGCTCAAACTCACGAACCGTGAGATCGTGACCTGAGCCGAAATCCAGAGTCCAACGGTTAACCAACTGAGCCACCCAGGTGCCCCGCGATGAGGTGAGGTTTTAAAGACGGAGTAAAGATCGTCAGATGCAGAATCACGAGTCTCACAGGATGCCAATTAAGAACACACACAGGAAATCGAACACACATTTTACAAACACGCATCTAGATGACAGGCATTAGCATTGTTCCGGGTGGATACGGGGGAAACTGGAGAACGAGAGCTGTTCTTTGGGGCGGCTGAGGCAAAATCAGGCCCCGTTGTGTCTCCGTTCTTGTTCGGGCTGATCCCACTTTCTCTCTGACTACCGAAACTAGTCCTGGGTTTTAGCCCAGGCATGGACAGCCCAAAGGCCAAACAGGAAGAGATGGACTGAAGTCACCCTCCCCTGTTTGTCTACCTGAGCTGTGGGTCCTGAGCACACTCACCTGCCCTCTCCCTGCTCCAAGGTGGGTGGTCCCTCTCCAAGGTGGGTGGCCCCTCTCCAAGGTGGGTGGTCCCTCCCCAAGGTGGGTGGTCCCTTCCCAAGGTGGGTGGTCCCTCTCCAAGGTGGGTGGTCCCTTCCCAGGTGGGTGGTCCCTTCCCAAGGTGGGTGGTCCCTCTCCAAGGTGGGTGGTCCCTCCCCAAGGTGGGTGGTCCCTTCCCAAGGTGGGTGGTCCCTCTCCAAGGTGGGTGGTCCCTCCCCAAGGTGGGTGGTCCCTCTCCAAGGTGGGTGGTCCCTCTCCAAGGTGAGTGGTCCCTCGTGCTCATGGGCAGTGTGGTGACGGGCATTGGGCAGACAGTGAAGGCTGAGAGCCTACTCAGAGCCTTCTGTGCACTGTCCTGAACATCCATGGACTCAAATACCTATGTTTTGCTATTCTAAGAGGTTATTGCAATAAAATGAGGTATCAACACAACAGAATACAGGTAGCAAGACGCTCGTTAAAAACCAGATTTTGGAAGGGACAGGCATCTCTTTAGACCCTCTAAGAGCTGAAAGCAAACAAATCATCCTAAACTGGGAATTTTTTTATAGACGTATTTAAATTTTTTGCTCATACAACAAGTAAGATATAAATGGATTTTTTTTTTTATTGCTCTCACTGGCTGTTTTGTACTTCTTAAAATCAGAACAGTCTCTCTTTTGTTTAATGAAATTTTACCAGTGGTTAGTCTGTAATTTAAAGTAAATACATTGGTTATTTTCTCTAAATATTGAAATGGACAAGATAATTGGAGTTTCTAAAACCTGCATGTCATTATAAGCACAGTGAATACATTTCATAATGATTTCATTATTCTGTTCATAAGTTTTTTTATTGTTCATTTGGTGTTTTGAATCTTTTATATGTAAATATAAGCCGTTCCACTCAGACCTTACTATCTCTTTAGCATCAGATTTTTCTCCAAAGAAAGCCTCAGATTCACCCAGGACATGTTTTAGTCTCCCTTTAAAAAGAGGCTTGATGTCTTTTTGCAAATAAAAATTAAATTTTATCACAAATAGTTTCACAGCTTTTGCACACTTCTGTTACACTGGGTTTCTTGGGAAGATGGTCAATCACTGTAGTTATGTAACACTTGATTCTAGAACTTGCTTTATAAGTGCTAATGCACAGTTTTTCTACGTATCTTTTTGGTTTCTTTGCACTTTGGTGCCGTGCCACGTCTTGAAAGTTTTCTTGGTCACCAACTGGCACCAGGACGTACCATGAGCCCTCATTCCGTGAGCCTTACGCAGTATTGTAGGCTTAGAAAAAGACAACGTAGACTCCCAAACAACACAGGAGTCCCCTTCCCCCATCCCCCAGGACCTTCCCTCTGGAATATGGTGTCAGGGAGACAGTTTCTATCCCATGAGGCCCATTCAGCGGGAGGTGACACGGCCACCTTCACAGGCCGGTTCTGTGTGTGCCCGCATGTGCGTGTGTGGGGGTGCAGGTGTGTGTGTGTGTGTGTGCTCGCACACATCTCTCTGTTTAAATAGCCTTCCTTTTTTTAAAAAAATTAAAAACATATTTTTAATGTATATTTATTTTTGAAAGAAAGAGAAAGAGAGGTGGGGGAGGGGCAGCGAGAGGGGGAGACACAGGATCGGAAGCAGGCTCCGGGCTCTGAGCTGTCAGCACAGAGCTGGATGCGGGACTCGAACTCAAGAACTTCTGAGATCGTCACCTGAGCAGAAGTCAGACACTCAACCGACTGAGCCACCCAGGTGGCCTTTAAAAATTTTTTTAAGTGTTTACTTATTTTGGAGAGAGAAAGCACAGAGGAGGGACAGAAAGAGAGGGAGACAGAGTTACCTAGAGCTAAAGTGGGCTTTGTGCTGACAGCAAGAGAGCCCGATACGGGGCTTGAACTCACAAACTGTGAGATCATGACCTGAGCTGAAACCAAAAGTTGGACGCTTAACTGACTGAGCCACCTGGGCACTCCAAACTTCCTTTTTTTTTTTTTTCTTAAAGCACGAAGCTCTTATTTATTTATTTTTATTTTATTTCATTTTAGAGAGAGGGAGAGAGCGCATGATCAGGGAGAGGGGCACAGGGAGAGAGAATCCCGAGCAGGCTCCACAGTCAGCACAGAGCCTGAGGCAGGGCTGGATCTCAAAACCCTGGGATCATGACCTGAGCCGTAATCAAGAGTCGGACGCTCAACTGACTGAGACACCCAACCGTAAATAGCCTTCCTTTTGCAACACTGTCAAATGTTATGCCCAACGTTGCCTACAAATGTCCGCATTCAATGACCACATCAAGCATATGAATATGCTCCAGAATAAATAGAAAAATCCCCCAAATCTTACAGCTATTAAAGACAATTGTATACAGCTACTTTAATATAGCTATATGCGATATAGTTATTAAATTACTGTCAGAAGTTAAATTTTTCACACAACGGAAGCATCCAAATTCTCCTGAGAGCAAACTCTACCCAGCGGTGACGGCATTTATCAGTCTGATCATAAATGGACCTCACAGAAAACAGTAAGGAGGACACACTCCCACTGTCATATCATAAGTTAGGCCATCTTGGATTCCAAAGCCAGATGAGAGGCTGAGGGAACAAAAAAAAGGTATGGAGAAAGAAAAGGAAAGAAAAGAAAAGAAAAGAAAAGAAAAGAAAAGAAAAGAAAAGAAAAGAAAAGAAAAGAAAGAAAAACAAAGTTTGTTTCACTCACAAATTTCAATATGAAAATGTTGAAGTCAAATACTAGCATGTAGTGATGTTTAAGGAGAACGAGATAGTATATCATGACCAAATGTGTTTATTCCAGCTACTCTGGGGTGGTTCACAGCTATTAGAAGGTTTTGAAATGTCATGTGCCATGTAAAGACTCAAGAAGGGAAGAGTCATCATTGTATTAGATGCAGAAAAAGCATCAGGTGAAATTCTACATCCCCGCGAAACAGAAGTTTTTAGTAAAATAGGAACAGAAGGGAACTTTCTCAATCTGATGAGAGACATCTCCCAAAAATATTACGGGAAACCTATTCTTTTTTTTAATGTTTATTTATTTATTTTGAGAGACAGAGAGGCAGAAGAGAGACAGAAAGAATCCCAAGCAGGTTCCACACTCAGAGCCCAATGTGGGGCTTGACCTCACAGACCGTGAGATCCTGACCGGAGCCAAAATCAAGAGTCAGTCGCTTAACCGACTGAGCCACCCGGGCGCCCCCTGATGTGATTTATCTTTGAGCAACTTATTAGAAACCATCTAGAAACGTGCACCATTTAGAAACGTGCAAAACAATACCATAGGCTATGAAGGAATTTGTGCAGAGAATTCTGTAGAACTCTCTGGGAGTGGCGGACCCACATGCGGCCCCGTAGCCTCCTCCAAGGACGGCAAGGCGAGGGACCCACAGATTTAACAGTGCCCGGGTTTTGTGTCATACTCAGCGAGCTGCGGGTATTATTATTTACACTTTTTTGCATGGCTTTAACACCGCGCAAATGTTTTGATTAAAAACACACGGGCTCCGGGGTCATCGCTGGCCTCAGTGGGAAGGAGAATGTGATCTTCATTTACAAAGGATGGAGTTCTACCCCCTTCTCTCTCTCTGTCCCTCTTTAAGGCTACGCACAGAGCATTCTCCGGTACAGAGAGACCAAAGGGAGCTGTGCCAGGGCTCCCTCGTATACTGCCCAGAATGTACTAGAATTCCTAGATGCCCGTGCATAAGGTCAGGCGCAATCCATTTTCTTGCACAGGTCAAAGACCAAGCCAGCCCCTGACAGCTTATTATTGCTTACTGACATAGTCTGCCTTCTAACTCTTTGAAGGAATAACACTTCAATTACTTTTCCTAAGT